TGGTCAAACATTGGAACAGGCTGCCTAAGGATGAGTCAGCATCTAGTGAGTCACCATCACTAGAAGTGTTCAAAAAACAAGACGTGGCACTTCAGGGTATGGTTTAGTGGGCATGGTGGTGTTGGGTTGATGGTTGGACTTGATGATCCTAAGGGTCTTTTCCAACTTTAATGATTCTGTGATTCTGTGTCACTTGAACAAGGCTTTGCAAACATGGCTGGAGCACTACTAGTCCTCAGTCCTCCTAGAAAGATGATTTAGGTTTATTTCTCAAACATTCATGTTTTGATGATTTTGCAACGGACCTTTTGAAAGGCAAAAGAAAATAGGGGGTTTTTTTTGCATCAACATTAACAGCTGTAGAATCTTAAAACACAGATATCCCTGTACAAAAATGTGGCAAAGTTTCTGTTTAATATGCAGGTATATTATTAGAATTACTTACCATTAGTCTCTGATTTTTTCCCCATAGCTGATACCTGTTTGAAAAAGTAATAAACCATTACTAAAGTTGACTGTGGGAAAATATATCTATTTATAACAGGAAAGAAATCAACTCCATGCAAAGGACAGATTTCTACACGCAACACAGCCCTGCCAAATAAGAATATAAAAGTTACATGCTGCCCGTGGCTTTCTGCACCTCATTGTACTTTCTTTTATAGATAAAAAGGCAGGTTAGTAACACAAGACGTGTAGAGGCTTAACTCCAACAGAGAGACCGTATGAAGGCAAATGGCACCTTCCCCCTAGAAAGACTCCCACAGAGATAATATTTTTTTAACAGTGCACTGAAGTGTTACCTTAGAAGAAGAAGCAGCTGACTTTTCAACTGACTGCTTCTCCCAGAGATTACGTTTGCCAGATACGTCTCCTGGTTTTAAATCCTGCATTTTTAGATGAATGTCAGAGAACAGAAACCAACATTAGTTCAGGTTTATTTTAATTTGTTAGAGAAAAAGTTAGAATGCAACTTCCTTGTAAGAAAAGTTGAGGAGCATCCACCAGTGGTAAATATTACATTGACTATCAATTATAAAGCTATTCAGAATGACACTTCACATAATCACTCCACACATATACATGCCTTTCAACAAAAAACAGTCCTGCTACATCTATTTAGCATTGCACAGAATGGACATAACTTATTATGTTCATCCTAAGGAATACAGTGAAAAGTTACTGCACCATTGTGTTTTTAAGAAAGACAATTCCAATTTTTGCAGATTTTTTTTTCTTCAGAAATAGTATTTGTATTAGGGAAGAATTCAAAAGTAGCTTGTCTCAGTTATTTTAGATCAGAATCAAAATATTTAATTAAAAACTGTGGAAAAAATAGAGTAGGACTTCTAATACAAAAGAAAAGCAGATCTTCCGCTGCATTCTGAAATACAGGTTTCAGGATTTAACACTGTAGTCCTTCATGTCATAGAATCATAGAATCCTTGGGTTGGAAGGGACCTTTAAGGTCATGTAGTCCAACCCCCCTGCAGTGAGCAGGGACATCTTCAACTAGATCAAGTTCATCAGAGCCTCATCCAATATGAACTTGAACGTTTCCATGGATGGGGCATCTACCACCTTTCTGGGCAACCTGTGACAGTGTTTCACCACCCTCATTGTGAAAAATTTCTTTGCATTCTTAAAACCTTAGCATGTACTAATCACTAGCCTGACAAAAAAAAAAAAAAAAGGGGAGGTATAGTCATTAAAAAGTAATCATATTCTCTGAAAATATACGGAAAATTTAAGCAAAACAATAAAAATGTCAAGCTGCTTCTTGGGGAAAAGCAGGGCTACGAATCATGTTGACATATGTCAAACTAGTAGCAATGTACCTGCTTAAGGACAGCTGGATTGGTATCTACCTCTGTGGTTGGCAAACAAAAGACTCTTGAAACAATTTTGGACAAAAGTATTCTCCTTTTCAAATGTGTTCAGGTCCTGCATGGTTTCCAGAATCTTGTTCTTGCCATCCATAGATAGGTAGTTTTCTGCACAAAAGAATTTCTAACTTGGGATAGAAAAATGTCCAGTGATGAATGGAAATGTGATTTCTGCAAGAGGTATTTGCACCCAACAGAGATGCTCTAGAATTGATCATAATTTACAGCCAAAGAAGGTTTCTGATGGTTAAGGCTTTAAGTCAATTCTGTACTTCAGAAAGCGATTTTGGCAGTAACAGAGGAAGGAAGAAAACAGCAAAATTGCAGTGGACCTTATCAGAAAACCACTTGTGGTAGATGTTATCACAAAACCACTTCCATAATCCTGAAATAATTCGGGATCTGTAATTTAGGTCCACCATAAAACTAATTGAGATCTTTGCTCCCTCTACTTTTAAGTGACTATTGCTCCAAAAACCACAAGAATCTTGATGGTCACAAAAGGTTCAAACAATTCTTTTTTTTTGGTGGAATGTGATGGGGATAGGAAGTTATTTGCTAACTAAGAAATTCTAGGTTTCCCTTTGATTTATCCTGGTTAAAGAAAAAAAAAAAAAAAAAGGAAATATCACACATTACAGATGCATTATAAACAGGTTTACCTGACCAACTTAGCAAACAGACACCCAAAGAAGAAGAATGGGAGGAGGACAGGTTCCTTCAAGCAGAGACATTGAAAGAAGAAAGAACAATCTATTGAGAAAGAGGGAAATGAAGACATAGATAGGAGTAGTTGGCTGAGGGGAAAACGAAGAGGTTAGTTTTATGCTGTCTGAAAGAGGTAACTTAGAAAGAAAGGAAAATCTAGAGGCAGATTCTGTGCTGTTTTTCAGCAGCTGTGATTAAATACAGTGACCACAATGACTTCTTTTGGTTTTATATTCAGGACAAAAGGACACAATCTCTATGTAGCTACCATTAAATACTGACATTAGGGACTAACACTGCAAATTTCAAGCTCCTCTTTCAGACAAATAGGAGTGTGAATTGAGAAAAAGTTTGTCAGGCTGCATCTTTTGTAAAGGGCAAAGAGACTGGCAGAAAAATATTACATGAGGATATGGGAAGAAACCAGTTCTTTAATAAAATCCCAAAGTTGAATGAATAACACCATGAGTGATGCCCTGTCGTTCTCCAATACGGACACCTACAGCTCCAGTTCCTCATCCCTACCCTACCCCACCTCACAATTACCTGTTTCTGTTCCTTCCCACATACACACATCTGCTTCCCATATTCCCATCTTATTACGTTTATGCATTTTCTGCTCTGATCCTTGCTGAAGTTATGGGCATGTTAAAGGGCCTTCATTAGAAATTACATTTAGGCTCTTAAAGGATTAAAATATTTCAGTTTTGTTTAAAAATATACTTGGAAGATTTTTGTAGGGTAAGGACCAAAGCACAAGTGTTTCTTCCAAGGTCTATGGCTGTTAATTTCTAAATTAATGACAGGCCCTTCACAGGTGGTAAATTAATGTCCTTTTCTACCAGAGAAGTGCTTCTCTGACCACTGTCTTTTTAAAGTACCCCTAAGCTTTAAGGTGAGAACTTCCCTGTTTCATCTCTCTCTTTTCGGACTACCCAGGAGTTAGCAGCCAGAGGACCTCTGTGAACCTCCAAGAGAGGACATGCAGCAAGGCTCCTCCAAAGACCATCAGCTGGTTGAGGAAGCACCATCACCACCCTCTGCCCCAGGAGGGAACCCACCTAACAGAAGAGATGGTTGTTGCAGGTTTACTTACAGAAGGTTTTGGAGCGGGTGATTTGTTGCTCTCTGGGGTCTTGGTTAACCACTCATTGATACGACTGGAGACACCAACCTTCAGGCCAGCAGTTTCCTGCAAAATAATAAAATCTAATCAGAATATTTCAGAATAGCTTTTGCTATGTTTTCCACAGTTTAGATTTAAAAACAAAGCCAAGCCCAAGTTTAATATAGAGGTCCTCACTGAGACTATGACTAGCTAAGAGTCATCCTATGTGCTCTGAAGATATTGTCCCTATGAACTACACAGTACTATTAATCCAGGAATAAATGTTAGACATCAATTTGCTGTTTCTGTCATAACCCCAAACTCCAAGGAAAAAAATATTTAGCCTAAAAGAAGAAGAGACACCAGTCTAAGACTACATTTTTGTTTTGTTAACTCCTCTCTTATATGCTTTTTTGAAAAAAAAAGTTTAAGTGGCCTAAAATTTAAATCATTAAAATAAATCTTTAAATGATTAGAACAAATTACTGAACTTTCATGGCTATCTGTAATAACCTCCTTCAATCCATGGCTCAGTTTTTTGGCTATGATGAATGCTCACCAACTCTCATCAATTTATAGAAAAGGAATGTCAATTTATAGAAAAGAAAGAAATGTTTCTTTATAGAAAAGAAATGTTACCTTAAGTCTTTACATAGAAAACATAAAGATCTCAAAAATGCTTCTATGCATTATCTATAAAATGTCATTATCTTGCCTATTTAATCCTCCTCTGCCCTGTCAAAAGAATCTTTCCCAACGCAAAGAATTTCTTTGTACTCCGCTTGAACTACCCAGATATATTTATCTAAGATATCTGATGTGGCTCTGGAATGTCTCATAACTTAGCTCAGTATGTCACTAAATTCTTCCATTATACTCAGTATTGCAGCCACACAATTTTGTGGGTTTCTGAGGACCTCAGGATCCTTTGGGATATTCTTCACCAGTGATGGCAACAGGAGCAGCCAGGCTTACTCATGGGAACACAAATGGCAAGGTCAGGTCCATAACATAATTCTTTATAATCACTGTATAAAATTAAACACATACCTTATTTGGTGTTCCCGTCCCAGAAGGTGATGAAAAAACATTCCCCTTCTCCCACATGCTCTTGATATTACGGACACCCTCGGCTGGAACAGGAAGGTCGGAGGCTGCTGGCTTAGCTGGTCTTGCTGCCTTTGTGCCCTGCAGAAGAATTGAGGCCAGTTGGTGTTTGGCAGTAAGTGCTGGAGTTGCAGGGTGGTTTGACCCTGGGGCAATGCTGGGGAATGCAGCAGCTGTAAGTGGTTCTAGCGATGATCATGCAAAGATGTAAAGGAGTACCCAACTCAAGAGATGCCACTGAGAATCTTCCCCTTTTGATTTGCAGTTGCACCCTTGACACGACCGGCTATGAAAACTGCAATCACTTAGATTTTTGCATCTGTTCCATTTCTAAAGCCCATGGCAAGCCATAGCTCTGCACACAAGTGTTCTAAGGCTTTCATTTGTGCTCTTTCAAGTTTTAGCATCTGCATCCTGTAAGCATAGCTCTTTCAGAGACACTACTAAGGAAATCTTTATGCAGAGGAAGGGGAGAAAGGCTGCTCTGTCATCCATCAGAGCATCAGACTCTGCTCCATCTGTCCCAGACAACTTAACCTCACAACTCAGGATTCTAGGGGTAAATTTCAGCAATTACAGTATATTTGGAATGAGGTATTTTTTAAAGAGTAGGGGGGTTGGAGGATTGGGATTTTTTTGGCAGTGTGTCTTTTGCATGGTTACCAAAAACACTGGACCAAACTACTCCTGTTCCTTCTTTTCAAAGTTCTTGTACATTTTACACAACACAGACCTGAGGAGAACAAGAACCTGTATGAGTTGAGGCTTTGCCTCTCTAGTTGCAAAGCAAGTCAGATTTGACAACTTTTGAAAAAATCAGAAACTCAGCAGAGGAATAATTTCAGGTCCGATGGGAGCTGTATATGGCTGTGAAGCTGCACTGCCTGCCCCTTGCTGTAGAGCTATACTTTTTAATATCTAAACGGAGCATAAAAACTCAGGACCTTAACACAGCCCTACTGAAAATACTGGAGAACCTAATTAAGCTGGTGGGTGGGATGGCCCAGTGTTTGTGGGTTGACAAACCCTGACTTCACTATGACATAAATTTCTTATGACAGACTGAGCTTTAGCTCCAATCTGTCCACTCTCCTTAAGGGGTTCAACACCAAACCCCAGTGCCAAATTAAAGCCCTTGGTCAATCTAGGGTGCCTCACCCAGAAAAGGCGCAGAGTGAAGTGGAAGGACAGAAGCTGTATGCTCCTATTTTGATGATATGGGGACTACTGGTTGCCATGCTGACATTCAGCCCTGATGGAAGGGTTAGAGCTACCTTCAGCTTGGCATAGGTGCTGGTGGCAAGCCTGAACATTCAGCACTGCCATGCCTGCACTTTTTTCTTCGGGAACTGACACACAGTATAAAACTGTCCAGCACTGATAGGTTTCCTAACAGAAAGGTTAAACAGACAGCAGTCACAGAAAAAAGACTTTGTTAATTGATCTTTAATTACTCAAGTTTCCTTTAAGTAAAAAGATAATAAAGCCTAGCCAATTAATACCTTAATGGAATACCGTGCTTAGACTCTATATGTGAACAAGAGGAAACAAAAAATCCAGCAGGGAAAGAAGTAGTGCTAGACCTCAATCACAGCTATCAACATAATACCCCTTTTTTATACTATTCTATTCCCATGACACTTACCAACCCAGTCCAGTTGGTCTGCTATATTAATCAGTAGCTTTCACATCGCCTATACTCACTGATTTATAAAAACAGCTAAAAAAAGCCAACAAAACAACAAAACAAAAAAACCCAAACACCTATTTTTCCTTGGACTATGAAAAGAAAAAGCCCTCAATTCTGGCTTCAAGGAACATTATTAGCCACTACTTGTCAAAATCACCTGGAGTCAAATTCTGCATTTTATTTTGATTCTGTTTTTCTTTTGTCACTACTTCACTCCCTGGTTCACTAAAGTGTCTTTCTTTGCCAAGGAACTTCACTCTGAAGTGGCAGCCGGCAACACAGGCTCAGTTCCTTGCTCTTCTAAATAAGCTGCTAAATCAGCTTTGCTAAGGATGATTATCAGCTCTCTGCTGATAGTACTCTCATCAGCCAAGAGGAGGATGCAACTGTCACTCAAGAGATGCTGACTGAGTCCTTCAAGAGCTACTCCAAGCTTACAAAGCAGACAGAGTAAATTGTAGCATGAAAGGGAAGACATGAACCCAAGGTTTTGTTTAGCTCTATACCTAGATGTTGGTTATAGGTGTGCCTCAAACATTTTGTTCTTGAAGTCACATTGAAAAAGAGTTTGTGACCAAAAAACCCTGCAATTCTTGAACAGTAAGCCAAAGGTTGATTAAAGTCCAAAAAGCCATTAGTAATTAGAGCCATCATGACCTTGAATTAACGTACCTCGATTGCACTAGTGTATTGCTCAAGTCTACTGTCAATCTTTGAGACGACTGCTGTCGTGTGGGTGGGTTTCATACCACTGTAAGAAGTCAAAAAAAGGGCGAAAGAAATTATTAATCCCTCCAATTAAACACTGCTGGTTTGACTCAACATATTGTCTTATTGCTTTACCTCTTCTGAGCGGATTTGTTCAAAAATTCTGCTCGCTCCTCTATCTAGAAAAGAGAGAAACAAGACCTATAAGTTTAAAGTTGATAAAAGGGTAACCTGTACAAAGCCAGACTAAAATGTCATTTTAAATGTCAAAAGGTCAATCTGAAAGAGATGCATTCCGACAGAAATCACCACAGACACACAGAGAGATTTTATAGTTAGAAGTCTATTACACTACAGATTCATAAGATGGATATATTTTCTGCATTAATATTTGCATCCTGCATATTTCTTCTGTGCCTTGTTTGTAGTAAGAGAATAAACCACCAATATAGAAAGGAGAAAAGGGGGGAAGTTTGTCTTATGAAAGGGTTGATATTCACAAAATTTATGTCAAATTTCCTCATATCTCCCACATAAGAGCAAGTATGTATCTCTTGAGACAGATAGCAAATTTAATAAAGTTTTTCTGAGTTGAGGCATCAGATTAGGCCAGGTTTGGAGTTCAGCCACATACCCTCTCTCATGTTTTGCAGGACACTGACAATTTAATTTGAGCTCCAAAAAACCAATCAGACTTTCAGCAGGGTCACTGCTGAGTCAATATCTACCAGCTGTTATTATAGAAACTGGTATCTTACATTTCATCATTATTTTCTACTCTGTGTAGGAAAATATTATAATGTTTCCAGGGAAAAAGAATCATGAAGGTCTCATAAGACTTATGCTAAATCTCTCTATAATTTGAAAACAAAAAGGCTCCATCGCTGAATAAAGTTTTAAAACATTTCACAATAGCAGGGTGTCTATTTGCATTCTGGGTCAAGAAATACTTTAAACTTCCTCATGTCTCTTCCACATTGCCTTGTTCCACTTCTTGTCCCAAACTTTACAGTTTCACCCGAGAGTAAAATATACACAAGCAGCTCCTGGGTATAGAAATGACTACTAATCAACCTGGGTGGATTGCTGGAGATTCCCTGGTCTCCATGTGGATTGTCACTTTTCAGGCTACTTTAACAGTGACTGCTGTTGCATTCATGCCTTTAAAATAAGGCAATGACAGCCATTCCTTTAGACAGTTCTCCTCGGTGTCCTTAGCATCCAGGCTGTACCAGAATACTAAATCCCACAGTAATCCCATCAAAGGGCATGCATGTTTTATTTCTCAAGGCCAAATAAACAAAAACTCAGGCAGTTCACTTCAGTGCAGAATTTTACAAACAAGCTCACTGGAAGAACTCTGGCTAGCATCAATCCAGCTCAAAGGCACCTCTGAAGCTCTAAAAAAATATATATATACAATATACAGAATAATTTACATTGACAGTTTTAGTTGCCAATATATTATCTACACTGAGTTGCTGGAGCATGTCCAAAGAAGGGCAACTAAGCTGGTGAAGGGTGTGAAGAACAAGTCTTATGAGGAGCGGCTGAGGGAATTGGGGTTGTTCAGTCTGGAGAAGAGGAGGCTGAGGGGAGACCTCATTGCTCTCTACAACCCCCTGAAAGGAGGTTGTGGTGAGGTGAGTGTTGGTCTCTTCTCCCAGGTAACTAGCCATAGAATAAGAGGAAATGGCCTCAAGTTCTGCCAGGAGAGGTTTACACTAGATATTAGGAAAAATTTCTTTACTGAGAGAGTGGTCAAGCATTGGAACAGGCTGCCCAGAGGGGGGGTGGAGACACCATCACCGGAAATATTCAAAAAACGTGTGGACATGGCACTTTGGGACATGGTTTAGTGGGCATGGTGGTGTTGGGTTAACGGTTGGACTTGATGATCTTAAAGGTCTTTTCCAACCTTAACGATTCTGTGATTCTGTAAATACTGTCCTAAGGGAAAAGATGGGCTTTGCTCGGATATGTACCAATTGTTTCAACGCACTGTTGTCACAAGGTGGCAGCAATACACCAGGCAGGAGCTGAAGAGCCATGCGCATCCATACTGGTCTGGAGCTGCGGCTCTTCCTTCCCCAGCCTTTACGCTTAGTTTCTCACCCAGAGGAAATACAGTCGGCATTGCCATAAAACGAGCAAATAAATAATTTGATTAAAAGTGACTAAACAGATCTATCACGGTAACTTTAAACACATCACCTCGCCTCGACTATGGCATAGTAGAAGTTTCCCACCATGCTGATTTCTGGGTCATAACCCGCAATACATCAAAATGATGAGTTAGACCAACAAGAGCTGCTGGCTTCTTCCCTGCTCTGCATCAACTGGTAATTCCCGACTGCATCAGTGAAACCCTGGCTGGCACCAAGGACAAACAATACAGGCTATCTCAAAGAACCGGGACTCAAGGTAACCATATAATAATTAATTTACAGTATCTTCTAGTTCAGATGAACTGAGATTCTACTTGAATTCTTACAAAAGGGGCAGATCTTAAAAGATGCTTAAAAGATGCTAACAGTAGCATCTTTATAGTCTTCCTATGTTCAGGAAGGAGAGATGTTTCTACACAGCAGGAAAACCTGGCTTCGGTAGGCACTGGTGTAAGAGAGGGATAGGTTGGGGGGAAGAGGGACATGCATTCTTGGGGTAAAAAGACATGGGGTCAGTCTTTACCTGTTGGAAACAGTGGTTGTCGGAGGACCTGCTGTGGTATCAGGAATAAGTCAGGGATTGTTCAGAACAGGAGAGTGAGGAAGCAAACCAGGAAAAAAGTTAAACAGGAAAACAGAGTTAGGAAGCAGCCCTCAGAGCTGAACATGGTCCTCTTCTCAAGTAAGCAGGTGCCTTGTGTGGATGGATAACACATTTTCTGCACATTTGTATGAGAATTTGTTCTAGAGCATCTTCCTCAAAACACAGTATGCATGGAACAGAAGCATACTTTGAATACACTTAGAGTACAGACACGTATATTCAACTTATAGGTCAAATACATTTAGACTGCACAGCAACATCTAAAGTTCATTTATCCACTGCACACCACACAAACTCCATGCAAAGAATTTAGAATGTTTGGCACATACAGTAAACAGTATTACAAAATAGATCTGTAAGAGAAATAGGCAAAGCAAGGTGGTTAGCACAAAATCCAAGATATTACCTCAGTTTAGGACCAAGAAATAAGAATAATCTTTTGCTGCATTCATCATAATGGGATCTTATTAAATAGCTCAGGAATGTGTTTTGTCACCATGGAATACTTTCCAAAGCCTCTGACACAGAACACACAAGTACTACAAAGTCAACCTGCCAGCGTCTAATTAAACTATGAGCAGAGAGAAAGAACATGGGATCTCAGGCTGCATCTCTCCCACCTAACCTCAGTTGCTTGGAAGTTCAGCATTTAGTCCAAACTACTCATTTTTGTTCCCTCTATAGTCAGTGGAGAGACAGAGGAGCTCACTTCACCCTAGGAAAGGTGGGATTGCTTGTCCACTGAAGGTGGCTCTCACTCTCTCTAGTAACTACCAAAGCAGCTTAGATTGTACAACAAAGTGCTTAGATGTACACCTACCCTTCTGCTGGTAAAGTCAGATGAAATGAAATCAATGGACATAAATCAAAACCATGTGGAGTCTCATACCTGATTAGGGCCTTACTCAACGGAGCCAGCACATACATTTGGCAAGGAATAAATTAAGCAAGATGTTATACAAAGATATATGTATGCATTTATCCACATTCAATACTATATAGACATGTTTTGTTCACTGAATGTGCAAGAAGTTTCTTGCCTACTAAAAATGCAGTTAAAGTGTGGGCGTCAAAGCACACTTTCTTCCATCTGTACATCATCCAAGAACAGAAACAGAATGGAAGAGGAATGAGTTAACATACAATTTGAGCCAATGACTTGGGAAACAAAAAACATCTGGATATTCCCAGCAAAACCTGTTTCATACAAAGGTATTAAATGATTCTTAGGAATTTTAAGTTGTGTATTAGATACTATGCAACTGAAAGCATTGCAGACCGAGATATAGAAAAACTCTTCTCAAAAAATGGATCAAGGAGGAAAGGGAATAAGAAATGCATGCACAAAACAGAAATCCCTGTATTAAAATTTTGCCTCATATCCAACAGGTGGAAGAACCTGTTGGAAATCCCTTTTGAGTGGTAGTCCCTGGGAGTGAAGTGGCTTCTCCTATCTTCCCTGAGTGGCTCATGTGCTCTTTTGCTTCATTAAGCACAGTTAGGGTTTTTCCTGCTTCAGCAGCATCTGTGCAAAGTACACTGATTTACTCCAGTTTACCTGCCAGACAAATCCTGTTCTTGCCACTCTGTCTCCCCTCTGCTGCAGAAGTAGCTCATCTAGAAAGAACTGATTGTGTGTAGTCTAATCTTGTCCATCACTGTTCCAGCTGTCAGGTATTAAGAGCAATAATAAGATAGGACAAGACAGGTCTTTAAGGAAAGAAAAAAAAAAAAAAATCTCAAGCCCTGAAAAGTTCTATCTTCTGGCTTAGCTATCAGCATTGCCTTGCAGAGAGTGCATGTTGCCACATCAGCCCGTGTTTCCCAGGAGACGTTTTCTGCAAAGACAGGAGACATTCCAGGCTTCCGGCCTCCTGCCATTGCTTCCTCCCCTCAATGCCTAACTGCTTTTGTGTTTCTGTAGTGGTGGAGCTCACCCCCAAGAGGAGACTTAGTATTGAAATATCCTGTTCTCTCCTGATTAACCTAGAGAATAGTCATACAAGAAGTCAGTAACACACCTTCCCAAAGAAAACATGAGGAATGAACTTGTCTAAAAAGGAAAGTGAACAAAAATTATGCAGGAAATCTCATTCTTCTACTGCAGCACAATTTGTGTGAACTAAACTAGGGAAAGCATGAGCTAGAGTGCGACGGGAGAGCACAAGTTGTCGTTCCAGTCTTTGTCCTCATTAAAAAAAAAGAAAAAAACAAACAAGAGAGAGGGCAGAATCCAAACAGAGGTTTGGTACTGCCACTACTGTCCACAAGCTGCTTCTGTCCCTGAGGTAGAGATGAACTTGGCCTGTATTTATTTTGCATGCTTCCACTGTCCCCTCAGAAAGGACTAGCCCTGCTGCTGTCACTGGGAGGACTCCATGCTGCCGTAGCAGCTCTGCTGAAGTAGTGTCTCGGGTTTCAGGGAAATACTGTATTTAACAGTTAACAGGATTTGTCAACACTGTGTAGGCTGAGATTTATTAGAGGCCAGACTAGATAACCACAGTAGTTCTTTCTAAATATAAGCATGTATGTATATTATGTCTGTGTTTGCATACATACATTTATATATGTGCATCCATGAGCCATGTAATACATGGACATGAGTTGCACACCTTGGTCTCTCAATTCTGAGTCTGCATGTCATGTTAGTCCATGCCTTGCCTGATGGATAAATGCAGTGTCTGTAAGATGGTGATGTGCCACGCTCCTTTTCAGTTTATCTCCTTTCTTTCCTTTGTTCTTGTAGTTCGCTTTGTAAACAGCATGCCCTACTTCCCTCATCAAAGTCATTCCCAGGAATTTCTTTTTCTTCCCAAAAACTTATCACATGAGGAAGGACAAGGAAGGAGAAAAAGATGCTTTGCCATTGTTGTCTAGGAGAAGTCAGAATGTGCACATATATCATTCAGTATTTTAATACTGAGCCTCCCTTTTTTTATTATTAATTCCACCCACCCACAATTGTTCATTTAGGGTTCTCACATGACTCATGACACATCTAACCAGATGATACATTTATCAAGGGAGAAAATATGTGCCAGATGCTTTACAAGTCAAAAGACAACGTGGGCAGTGCATAACAGGTAACGAGAAATCTGTGTACCAACCAGGTTAGACCAGCCTGAGAAGTCTGTCCAAATGAAAGGTAACAAAATATACTGTCTTCTAAAAACTGGAGTTTGACATTAAATTTGACATCAGGTTATTTAAATGAGATTATTCTCTCCTCAGCTATTGCCCACAGAAGGCCAAGAAACTGTTTAGGATGTGAAGTTCAACAGCATTACATATCTACTCTGGCCACCCACAGACACCGGACTGGAATATGTACAGTATTACCAATGTCTCAGAGAGAGAAACCGAGTAAGAGAAAAAATGTGTAGAAAGTTGCACATATCAGTTTTTGAAACAAACAACTTCTACCTAACAAGCCATAAAACGCAGCAGCAATTATCATCATAGAAAATTGGACCTTGAATGCTTAACGACATTTGGAAAATTCCAGCTTTCCTCTAAAAATACACTTAGTAAAACAGTGTAGCATCAGTCCAAAAGTTCTCTGAAAACTATTAACCTCCTGCCAAATCCAGTGTTTTTTCCCACTCTCCCCAAAATTATGATCTATATCTTTCTATTATGTGTTTTCAAGTATAACTTCCTCTCTTCTGAGTCATCTGGGAACTAAAGCTCCAAATGTATGTCATAAAAGGCATCCCAACAAACAGAAAGAAGAAAAAGAAGCCCTCCCAGGAGAGCTGGGAAGAAGCTGTACATTTATAGTGTCTGTTATCGACATGGTCTTTTGCAACCAAAATGGCAAGACCAGGTTTATCTAACAGGACAAAGTCGTGAAGCTTGGCAGGCTTTGTTTACAGCTGTATGTATTCTGTCCTTGTATTTCAAGTTCAGAGGTGTCTGAAGTCAAAGGTAAGTCCAGTCAAAAGCATTTGGACACTGTGTTTGCTAGAACTGGACCCAAAACAGTATAGGGCTGCAGCTCCAGATGGGTTCAAAGTGTAGCTCTCTGTGAGCAGAAATGTAATTTTGACCAAATGCAGTTTGTCACTCAACAAATACAGCTCTTAATCCCATGGAGATCCACTCCATGGCCCAATGAGCTCCTACCTGATAACCTCCTGCCTGGTTCTTTTCTCTCCTAATGCCCACTAAGGGGCCTTTTTTTAACAAATATTTTGGATTCTTAAATGACTAATGACACAAAATACAAAAAGGAAAAGATAGTTGAGGACAATCAATAGATTTGTAGTTTGAGCTTCAGTTGAGAAAGTAACAAGACTGAATACCAAAACAAAGCTCCCAATAATTTCTTGGGGCCAGGATTCCTCTTCAATGCTGAAAGGCCATTTAATTGATTTATCTGACTTCAATATAATAAAGGCCACAGAAGACCACTCAAATCCCTGCAGCAACAGAATGTTTTGGTTTTTTCCTGTTATGTAAGAAAATGAAATCCAGCCCAGTACTTCTAGATGTTATTTTTAGGGAGATTAGACACAAGCTAGAACTCCCATATGGGGCAGTTTCAATTAATGATGATTAGGCTGAATATGCTTAAAGACAAAGTAATCTGGCAAGGAAGAAAATAATTGTGGATGTGGAAGGAGAGAAAGAACATTTGTGATCTTTATCTACTGCAATTCACAAAGCACTCCTGTAACAAATTAACATTGAAAATCAACACAGCAATACAGCTCTAAGTTTCCAAAATAATTTTCTCTTGAAGGTGATCATCCTTTTTGGACATTTTTCATCAACAAGAACAGGTAACTCCCAGTGTAGACTCTATTTTTAGAAAGGATCTCTAATTTTCATTCATCCCAACGAATGAAGTCTTTCATCTAAAGGTTTCAGGTTAAGGTCTATTGCAGAGCATTGTCCCAGGTCTGATTTCAAGTATTCCCCCACTGCTTTGGCCTTTGGCTGTTGGTTTGGACTGCAACACCCATTACGTTTTATGTACTATGTAGATGTTAGTGGGGAGGTTACCTTGAGAGATGAACCTTTAGGACTGAAACATTTAAATGGCTTCTTGTCTTCAGATATGCCATCTTCTGGCATCTTTTGACGTTTCTCAGCAGCTTCAGCCCTTCTCCTTTCAATTTCTTCCTTCATCCTCCTCTTTTCCTCCTTAAAAAAAATATGAATGGTCACTTATTCTTTCAGAAACTATATCAACTTTACAGGGCTTTGCAGTCCTGCAAACATTTACCAAATTTGCTAAGAATAGATTCTTATGCCAATCAAAAAAGTTCAGTGACCTATCTGAAATTCAGAAACATATTGCTCCTAATCGATCACAGTGTTAAGGAAGAAGGGAAGACAGATAGGCTGTGTTGCTTTAGTGTCTCCTCACAGTGAGGTCACCAGATTTATTGCCATATAATGCCACTTAGAGAGAAAAAAGCACATTTATAAAAATACTTAAATTCAGTTTCTCTGTATCCTCCTCTATCATCTTTCTACTGTTCTTCTGTCCATCTAGTCTGGCACTTATTGTGCCAAGGTTAGTATTTCACAAGGAAAAATCAATACGTGCCCCAAAAAAGTGAAGATTAAGTGCTTACAGTTTTTCCTCCAAAGAGGTAACATGAGTTTTTAGTTCATAAGCTACGAGTCAAACCAGAAGCCTTCAAAGCACAACACAATGGTCTGACCAGCAAGGTATTGTGCAATCTCAGCATCTATGGATTTCTGCTGTAAAGAACTTAGTATATTAAAGCAATTGGCATTCAGCTGCCAAACACTATTATTATTCATCTACCATTTGTTTTCCAAACAAGTAAGTTTCCTAAATGACGCACCAGAGATTTGGAAATCCTATTTATAGAGTCCCTTGGCAGAGGAAGTACAAGCAAACAGATGTGCTTGGGTACTCAATATTTAAAAGACAAGAACATCTTCCTAATGAGATCTAGCCCATCATAACTATATATAACATTAGCATTCCAGCTCATCTACAGCAGATGAATTTTGACATACACTTTGTAATTCAATTTGTGTAACGTCAAAAAGACACCCCAAATAAATTAAGAACGTTGTGGCTATAACACTGTCCCCAACACTTTGCATGCCCAAGAAGATTAGAAATTCACAGCTATCACAGATGAAATCCTGACTTGTGAAGACATTTATGGGAGCCTTGTCTTTCCTGAGGCTAGAACTGCAACGTTTCATTCTACCCTGGATGGCTGCACATTTTAACTCGGGTCCTCACTAGAGCATCTATGTGATGCGGTCACTTGATATCAAATATGGCATACTTGCAGTTAAATCTGAAGGTTAAAAAAACAGGGTGGTTTTAACACTGGGTAACATGTTTGAAATCAAGACGTGTTGCAACAGACTATCATCCAACAGATGCTAAGAAACAGCGATGCCCAGAAGAGCACAGAACCCAGAGGGCCCAGAAAAATGATGAAATTTGAAGCAAAGCCACAGCAGCAATTCCCCACACAGCAACATCAGGTCCAAGAAAGAGAAGCACACTTTGGCCGTACGCTTGGCTTTGGTCTTGCCTTCGTTGTTGCACACTCCTTCCTCACCTATAAGCCAGTCTCCCATGGCCTCATTCTGCCCTGTTGTTAGATACAGACATATCGACCTCCAGCCCCACCAGCATCTTTGCCTAGAAGTGTCTGTGCAGACACTGCTGTAAAGAGTTATCAACTAATGCAAAGCCAGTGGAAGTAAAGTAGTAACAACAAGGGAATAAAAACAGAGTCCAATACTTCATATTTTACACTTACCTCCTCTCTGGCTTTTCTCTCAGCCTCCTCCTGCTTCTTCCTCTGCTCCTCTTCCTCCAGGATTTTCCGGCGCTCCTCTCGCCTTTTCTTCAGTTCATCCAGCTCTGCCGCCGCCTCCTGCTGCTTCTCCTTCAGCTTCTCAAACTCCTCGTTCTCACCTCGACGACGACGCTGATCTTCTAGCCGCTTTCCAGCCTCGACCTGAGACCCCGGCTTCGCTTCCTCAGCATTTGCGGTCCCTTTCAAATTGGAACGGCTGAGAAAGAAATGAAAGGGAAGGCGATGCACCATGAGTTTTCCCTTCCCGGCTAGAGCCACCCACTGCCACACACTCACATCAGCAACATGAGAGCTCAGAGATATTGCCTTATAACAGCTTTTTCTCCTTGCAAACCCCAGCAGGCCCAAAACATTTTCATCAGGAGTTAGTAGGCTGGGTTACCACAAGGAGCGCCTCTCCCATCCACTGCCAGTGAGGAAGGAGTCTCCCGTGTGCTTGTGTGCACAGGAGCTGCACCACCCTGCCTGAGAACTCAGGCCACCTCCATTTTTAAGAGAATTCAGTAACTGAGCTTGAAATAGTTAACATCTCATGTAACTTCAGCAAGAGGTATCATATCTCATCACCGTCTTTATGGCATACAGTAAACTGTTGCAGTTTCACGCCTCTGCTCTGCAGTTTGTGTACAGAGGAAACACTTCCAAGAGGATATTACACTTGAAGCAGAAAACAAAGCAATGGAAAGCCATAACTAATCCCTCTCTGTCGATTTTAAATGAGATAAATTTACGTATAAAAAAATTCATAGCAAAAATATTATGTCCTGTGTAATAAAAGATGCACTAATCCTTTGCTTTCAAAAGCAAGTATTTTTTACAAACCTTCTAGAAAAAGACAAGCATCTTTGGGGACACAACAAATTATTTATCTGGGGAAAACAGAAGGAGACAAGAGACGGGGGAGAACAGCTTCAACCGTGTTTTAAAAACCTAAAAAGGTTCCTATCTCATCTATAACACCTATGACTTGAACTCTCCCAGCCTGTATGAACATCAGAGCTTTTGCTGATATTTTGCACAGAAAATGTGACTTTTTACTAAGGAAGTGGAAATTATTTATTAATGGCAACTTTCCACAAGAGAAAACCAGAAGTTTTCCATCCATCTGTAATATATGAGGCAGAAATAAAGAATACACCCCCCAAAAAAAAAAAAAAAAACAACCCAAAGAATTTGCATAGGTGGAGTCCTTACTTTCAACAGAGCCAGATAGCATCACCTAGTTAAACAATTACCATACCAGTGTTTAGACAAATGTCTGCTCCCTGACTGTGTCCAATATTACTGCTGACAAGGAGATAGATACCTTAGAAGTATCTGTGTGCTATTCACAAGATACAGAAATGGAATGTACTTACAGATTATTTTTTTAAAAAACTTCCTGCTCTTTTCTGTTGGCATTTAAAAAAGCTGGATATTAATGACTTCATTAATGCAACCAGAGTTTTTCAGAGTATAATACCACAAGACGGTACAAATCAAGCATTCCAACAATAACAATAACTGTTAGAGATGACAACATGAAGAACAAATATCATAAATTTGCAATCCGGGAATCACATCAAATCCTGCAAAAGTGCTCTTCATTCAGGTAGATGCCTCATCTAGATGGAGTTAACCATACAAAACAGGCTGTAGGACCAAAGTTGAATTACCTGTGGTTTCAATATCACAATAGAATCTACTAAGACAGAGTCCTCTGCCCCAACATGATTTTACCAAATTGGATGAAATTCAGTTCTAGCATGATATGCATGATTTAGGAATTGTATCATTAAAAAACATATGGCAAAATAGCATTACCAAATTGATGCTATTATGTGAATTCAGTCACTGTACTTCATCTGTGCAAGTTCAACACTAAAGTAGTAGGACCTGAGACTTATTTTGCAATGTGTTTACTTGATTTTAGAAAGTCTTTTCTATGTAAGAGCGTAACATCACAAAGCAAAGATAAAGAAAAAAAATGTCCCAGAGGTCTGTGAATGTATGTACCCTCAGTACATTCTCATGCCTGATTTTTAACCTAGAGTTACAAGTATATAATATATATTACCCTAATATCACCTTATAACAATCTTTTCTGCTCCAGGCCCTATTCCTGAATGTGTTTTTGCAGTGGAATCGCTTAAACCATGAAAGTAGAACCACAAGGTCACCCTCCACCATAAGTGTCAAGTGGTCACGAATAAGGACTTGCACCAGGTAGTGACGTCTAATTAAAAAAAGGAACTCATGCTTTTTTTAATGAAAAAATCATATACAATTAACTAAAGCATTGTGAGGAAACACTGGAAACTTTATTTGAAATTTCATTTAGCCCTTTCAAAAACAAAGTGAAGACCAATACCTGAGGTGTGAGGTATGATTTTGCGTGTCCAGCCTGAAATACCTCTGATTCAGTTTGTAGAGGTACTGGGAAACCAAAACACTCCACAAGCCTCTATAAGGCACTAAATATTTTAAGGCTTTCCTGCTTCATTGCAAGGTTGTAGCCTCTATACGAAACATCCCAGGAACCTCACTAATTTTTTTTTTTTTAATTCTTTTTTACCCACCCCTCTGTGTTGCCAGCCCACCCAGACCTGCAAGCTTCAGGCCCAAAGATGATGCAAGTGGTCACTTTTGATAGACATGATGATATCCCTGGCAAGGGCAAATACCCAGCCCTCAGAATTAACAGAACTAAGAAAATAACATTCACCAAGATTCTCTTAATAAATAGTCACACTGTTTTATATCAGCACAAGAGCAAGATTAGTCCTCAGTGACTTCAGTGCAGACAGCCTCAATGAAATTAACAGCTACTGTCAGATTTTAACAGGTAAAAGCCAAAGGTAGACTCTAGTCTTAACATTCTTGTTTGGAGACCTCAGGTGACTATTTTGTCTTCTGTACAAAGAAGGACATTTAAAGATTCTAGCTTATTTTATTCACATGCAGCTTACAGGACTTCCCCTACTGGTTCTGCGTAATCCAAATTAGCTAACAATAAACTGGCAGTAGTTCTCCTTATTTTCCTCCACCTCCCAAACTCCTCTGGTTTCAACAGATTCTGGGAATCTCTGTTCCCTACTGTTGACATTGGGAAATCAGTACTGAGATGCTGGGTGGAGGAAGAGTTTCGTAAGCACCTCTTTGGTGCTAAGAAATGAAGCTAGTTGCCAGCTTTCAGACAAGGAGGAAAAGGAAAGAAGTGGTTTGTGGGAGCCAAAAAAGTCAGAACAATGTGGAAAAACATTTTGCATCATATTTAAGACTTTTGCAGTCTTGTATGAGAATAGGGAGAAAGGCAGGTGGGAGGGGAGGTGGGAAGGGGAAGCCATAAAATAGTTTTTAATTCTGTATTTCTCTTACTGACTGACGTAGACAAACAAGACACAGATAAGATTTTTCTTTAGCTTCCACTACCCTATATTATTTTCAATCCTTACCGCTGAGAGTTAGCCAAGTTACATGCTTCCTAACTAGTATCTGATACGTTCACATGCAAATAAGAAGAAAGATGGTTCCAAACAAAGCCCAACAGTGGGGGCAGTTCATCAGGAAATAGGCCAAGAGCCTTAATTCATACCTAACAACCCAACACCAGAGCCACTGCTGATGTTGCCAACCCAAGTCTTCTACTCAGCTGATAGAAGGCTATTAAACAGGCTTCTTCCCACATTTGGGAAATAGTAGAAGAAAAACAGAAAGAGAAAAAAAGGAGTGGAAACTCAAATCTACTTGTTGCCACTAAGGCCTGTCTCCCACAGGAAGTAAAGCAAATGAAAACACAACAAAAATATTTTTAGAAAACCATTCTCGTGTTATTGATAATGTGACCCAAGTCATGAAACAGGACAGTTCTGAACAAGGCCGATTTCCTGCTATTCCATCTCCATCTCTGTCTGTCTTTTGGCCTTAGGTCAGGGTGTCTCCAGGGACTTTTGAACTGCATTTTATTTTGAGAAAGTTTGTTTTTCCCGGAAGAATCACAAGGGGAATGCTGAGATATAACAGCAAATCCCATCTGCCATGCACAGATTTCTCAAAGTGCCTGGAGAGCTTAACCTTTTCTTTGCCTGTGTCAATGTAAAAGAGGGAGAGAGGTGCAGAAGGGAAAAAAAAAATCGATTTCTAACCTATTCAATTCCTGGTTTTCTGCTAAAAGGAAGAACTTCTGCTCTGCTTCATATATCCCCTCCTTTTAGCAGGCAGAATCCTTTTTTAATAAACTTTTCACTAGAAGTTTGTTACCTTCATTGAATTTCCCAATATAACCACAAGGCTAATATTTCCTTGAAAATAAAAATTAAAATCAAAGAGTAATATAGCTTATAAAAAGACAAAAAATAGAGTATTTTGGCTAAGAAAGGTTTTCAGCTAAGCAATAGGTCACTTTTATAGAGAAGCCATTAATTTCAAGGTTTGCCTTGAAACCAAGAGACGACCTCTTTCAAGAGCTACCAACTGGATTGTGCTCCATACTGATATGCAGAGTCTGAGTAAAAGCAGGTGGGTAACCGGAAATAGGTTACTTCAGTAAAGGTTAAGACCTGACTTAAAAAATTATAGAACACAAAATCTGGGTTGTTGTCACTGTTGGCCTCTGTGCAGATATTGGAAATAAATGTCCTTCAAGGAAGAAAAGCCCCAGCAGAGGAAAAATAAGCCACTTGTCTCTGCTGAGGGAGCAAGGTTATTTACATCTGCTTTCTGTACTTCATTATGTTGCTGCAACAATGTGGGGGCAGTTCATTAGAAAGTAGACCAAGAGCCTTAATTCATACCTACAACCCAATGAATGCTAGAGCCTCTCCTGATGTTGCCACCCCCAGTCTTCTACTCAGCTGCTACAAGGCTATTGAGCAGAGACCCAGAGATGGCCCCTGCTCTGCTATAACATAAGCAAGTCCAACGCCCACTTGGGACTTACCCGAAAGCATTCTCAGTAGATTTAAGTTTTGGGGCAGTGAGTTCACGTTCTCCGTTCTGTGCCTTTTGTTCAGGAACTCCCTTCTTACGATCCCAGATACTTTTCATTTCCTCTTTAGGTGCTTTTCCTTTATCCTTGTCATCTTTTACCTGCTCAGGAAATACCGTAAATCACAGAACAAAAACAAGAAACAAACAAACAAACAAAGTTGTCACAATGAGGCATTTTAAGTAACAGCTGAGGAACACAAATTTCTTGGTATTAACGATTAACTAAGCAACTGTCTTCAAAACGTTTATGTGCTTTATGGCAGAAGTAGTCTGTAAAACTCTAAACTGTGACCAACCACCACTCTGCTATCCTGATCTGAATTCAAGATGAAAACGTGTTGAATAAAATTTTCAGTCTTCTGTGAAATTTTGCTGCAGCCATGGGACTACGCTACCACATTTCTTCATTCTACAACTGCACCCCACTGAGGCACCCCAGATCTCTTCCCTATTGAGATTCTGGGTTGCAAACTCTTTGGGACTAGGCTTGTTGATACATTCTTGGTACAAGGTTTAGGGCTTTGGAGCAACAGAAATAACACATAACCTTCACCAACTGTCAAGTTTGCTGACAAAGTTCACACACTTTCCTGTGTCATAGCAGATAGATACTTCAGTATGGTAGGAATAATGGGCAAAACACAAAATTATCTTTACATCAGAGTAAAACTTACTCTGATAAAAAGCACAATCAAACCAGGGGCTAGTCATGGATAGTGTTATCAGACAAGAATATTTAATCCTATGAAAAAGCAAAAGTTCTATCTGGAATCACTAGAGCAAAAAATTCCCTCTATCCTTACAAAGCTTTGTCCTATAATTCTTAATAGTAATCAAGTATATTTAGTGCATGGATTTCACTCTCCAGTATTCCTTCAGAGTTATGAGCTTGAAGTATTTATCAATACCACAGATGGCCTGATCTCAGAATGCTGAGTCATGGCTTCATTCTGAGAAGAGGAGGAGGATATGGACTGATTTAAGTTCTTTATCCTCAGGTGGAATTATTCCCACTCAGCTAGTTAGATTACCAGCCTAAATAAACTTTCAGCAGCAGAAGATGAAACATTTACCTCCAAATTTTTTTTTTTTCCCCCCTCAGATCTACCATGTCAGAGGAATATTCTAGCTGGCAAGCAAGAAATACCTTCTGTGAAAAATTCATATGAAGACCATTAGAAAAGAGAATACTTTTGTCCCTTGGAAGCCTGTTGCCATCCCATTTGCTAACTAGAAAGAAAAAGAACTTTCATAACAATCTTGTCTGCAACACAACTGCTTTTATGGCATTCCAAGCTGCATCTTGAAATAAAAAAACTAATACACACATCCACCCTCAAATCAAATCAAATCAAATCAAATTTCTATTCTTCCTCATCAAAGGAGAACTTCTGGAGATGTAATATCCTTACCAATAAAGGATTAGTTCAGAGTCTTCAAACTCAAGAGGTGTTGAATTAAGCTGCTGAGTGAAGACCCAAAGTTAGCCTCTGACTTACCCGAGGCCAGTTTTCTTGCTCACAGAAACTGATACAAAGGACAATGCTAAGGTGGCACAAACTACAAGCAAGTACTGGATGGTTAAACTACTCGAGCAAATTTGCCACTGGTGAGGGATGTTGGCCACAACACACAGAGGCATTTTCTCTGTCCTGAGAACAGGCAGTGGCAGTGCAGACTTTCCCCACTCCCCACTGCCAACGGGTTTTAGCCATGACCAGGCAGAAGCACCCTGACGGACAAGAAGGAAGCTCAGTTTCCATGACCATGCATTCTTCGGCCATGATGCTGTAATTGCTAGCAAACAAGGCCACTATTACCAGCAGCCTCAAGGAATGGTTTTCTGTTTTCTAGGAGCTGGGCTGAGACAACCAGGGCTATTTATTGAGCCTCATGAATGCCATCGGACAGTAACATCTTTTGCGTGCTCCCAAGTCTGGGCAAGATTGTAGCTAGTGATCATGTTCACAGCAAAAATCTCTGCTGCCTGTTAGGAATGTCCTAAACTTTTAGTCCCAGTCAGGGTGATACTGAAACCGGCAATGTTGATTGTTGCAAGATTTCGCATGCCAGGATGTCTGTGTTGGGATTTTGAGAGCATAGGATTTCCTTTGCTGAGATTTTCATCAAGACCTTTCTAAGTCTCATTAAAAAGCCAAAACTTCCAGCTGCCTGATATACTGAAGTCCACTGGGGAGGGTCATATCTCTTACATCTTAATTGAAATCACTGAGAAAACTAATATTAAAACAATATAGTTTAAAAATTAATAGGTTAGGAAATAGCATTTCAGAAGCCAGTAAGATTTATGGTAACGTGACTGCATTTGAGAAAACCATGAATACAATTTGGCCTCTTCATTCAAAAAGATGATAAAACAAGATATTACAGAAACATTTCACAGCTTTTGGGCCCAATCCTTCTCCTACTAATTTTAATGTTAAAACAGAGATTGATTAGCACAGAAGCAGAAACCATTATGTCCCATTCCAATGTCAGGCAACAGAAAAAGTACTTTCTTTGTCTTAGTGCTTCCCTAAATTACAGGCTAATTCAGCTTCTGCTGAATTTAGTAAAAAGGACTACACTGACTCCAGTTGGAGTAGGCAGGTGGTATTAGCTGAACTGAAAACAGCTCACATGCTCTCAAAAATCTTGACCATCAAATCAAGATAGAACATGACCAAAAACATGTTTAGCTCATTACCAGTTTTATTTATTCATATTTTAATCTTTCTCTACACAGCTTCTTTCCTCTTAGGGTGTTATGATAATATTTGAGAGTTGAGATTCCTAAATCTAGAGTCTGAACACCTTCAGACCACAGTGAATCAGTTACTGAGGTTGGGGCCACTTGGCAAATTTGATTCCTTATTTGGGCTCAATTACTTGGTGACTTAAAACCTGTGAGCATCTGGGTCTAGGGGTTCCATTTACAGCCAACTATCATACCCAAATACCATGAGAAAAGCAACTGTTGCGGCACGTCTAGCCAAACTGGAAGCAGGAAATACCAGGAGTCTCACATCATGAGAAAGCTTGTTCTTATGAACTTTCCAGGCCGCTTTTGAGAACCAAAAATTGTGGGGCTGTTCAGAAAAGGAGACAGATTTTGCCTGCTAATTTGATCAAACCCTGAAGTTTGAGGGCCAGATTTTCATCACAGTAAGAAAGGACACATGCTTGTGTTGCACAATCGCAAAAGCAAAATTTGATCACGTAGATACAGTATTCCTTCAGGATCTTGTTCATGATACACCGCCATCCTCTTAACTGCATATATGGTTCGGAAATAGGCCTCATTGAATTTGTATGTCCTTGATGTGGGGGGAAGGAGTAGAGATAGGAGCCTGAGCTTAACTTGGTTTGGGGTCTCAGATTGTAAATTTTTCTTCACAAGCCAAGAAGCAAATTGAGATTGTCAAAACTGAGTAAAACACTTTGAATGCTCAGCTTGATACAAATGCAAAGATTTACCTTTCGGTGGATGCATATTGCAATAAACTAAAAGCAGGACTCTCTTAAATTGTCTCAGCTTGAGCATCCAAAACAGGAAGCATTAACTTTGCAAGTTTTTAAGAGTCTTACCAATTTCCTGGAATAATCTAGCCCTGTGGCTATGGTTTAGAAGCATGATGAGAGCTCCAGTGAGAGTTGACTGAGCTCCACATAAACACAAGCAGGACAGTTGTGTCTCAAATCTGCCCCACCTCCAATCAATATTTGTGGCCAGTTACAGCCACATTTTTACATTTACTTGTAATATTCAAAGATTGTGTGCAATGGTGAATGTTACAAGCTGATTCTGTCTTATGAAGAGCTCTTAATATAATCCATCCCTTATTTTTTGCACAACTCCTCTGCTTTCACAATTGGGTTAATTTAGAGTGTTTAGTTTTTCTAGTCCATAATTCTGAAATATCTCCATTAGATCTCATTAACTCTTCCCCTTTCTAGAATAACTTACTCTAGTATTGCCAATCTCTCTCCCTGTTCATTAGGAACCTTTCTTATAACCATCTGCATCACTTCATTTACCTCTTCAATCTCAAGTGCACCTTACTCAAAATATCATACCTTGGATGATCAAGCCAGGCAAGTGGACATAAAACCTTGTGACATGATTTGCCTTCATCACTCTCTGAGGGTGAGCTAAGCATCTACACCATGTTTTGAATTAATGCAACAATTAAAGACCCTGGACTGGACCCTCTACAACCTTCAATGCTCCCAGGCAGCTGGAGAGGCAGCAAGCTGCCTATTACCAGACCTTTGTGCTGTGGCTGCCTTTAAGCCACACAGACCTGGCTGAACCCAGATGGGTCCAAACCTCCAAGGCCCTGACCAGTCTCGATGTCTGATTAGAATCAGGGGGTATTCTTGATACCTGTTACATTGAACCAAATGCATGGTTGCTACACAGCATTGGACACGGCTCCCTATGTCCAGCTGTAACCTGAAGAGTAAATGGTTCCCAAATCTTATTTACTTACCATACAGTAAAACACCATGGCACCAGCTCCTGTGTTTACAGTGGAAATGCAATGCAGTAAATTTTGTAGATTTTCTCTTTAAAACAAAAGAAGAATCTTGGGTATGCACAGTTTATATCATGGGACATTGCAGTTTGGGGGAAAATCATTAGTTAAGGCAGTCAGATGGCCAAAGGGCCTAGATGATGACGATAATTATTATTATTATTATTATTATTAGAGTAGGTCTCAGTCATAGGGAAAAAGTTCACAGTAAAGTGGGAGGAAACCAGGGAAGGATGATTAGTTGATGCAGTCCTGAAAAATTCATCCCTAGGGTGCAAACCATCATTGCATTATTGACTGAACTGAATTTCCTGAAATATTTGTTCTAAGACAAACAGGACTTCGTTCTAAAGCCCCAAAAGAACAAAATACCTAAGCATTTACTTCATTTTAAACACATA